GTAATTGATGGAAAGAAAAGGAAAGAGAGAAACCAGTGGAGCACGAGAGATGGATGATACCAGATCAGTGTTTATTATAGATACTTAACACATAAAAGCAACTGTTTATATGTGTTAGTTAGCAACTGTCTTCCTCAACTACATACATTCTTAATCATTCCACAAATAATTACGCAAAGGGACAACTTTAAATGTTTTAGTAACTAGAGATGTGCTCATAAGAAATTCGGAAACTCAGCATTACGCTCTTTTAACGACCCAAACACATTTAAATTACGACCATGGCAATATTGCTTTATGTCCTTGAGCAAATAGGATGTGTTTGATTGTAGAGGATGAGTGAGATAATAAACCAGCGTTGTGTTCCCTCAGAGAGTTTACCTACGTGTTAAACATCCAGAACATTTCCATTGCATACATGCCATGCAGTTCAAACAGACTGGACCTACTATGGGTTGTTTTGTTTTCCAATGGGAAGCACAGTGAAAAGAACATCTACAACATGATAAACATTTTATTTTTTATATAAAGGAATATTAAAATCCTCATAAACAATTAGCCTATATCCATTTATTTAAATCAGACATCTTGCAAACCTTGCGTTTTTTTTCTACAACAGCAGTTTCCAATCTTGGGGTGACCCCTCAATAAGGTCAACAGATTCATGTGTTTGTGTCTGCTTTTCAGACAAACTTGATTTTCTTGCAAAAAGATTGATTATTAGAGAATCCAGATCCAGAAAATATTCAACAAGTTCTGAAGATAAATACATTTTGTGGTGGAGTTTTTCCAACAACATATGCAATTTATGACAAGAGACAAGACACTGATTCATTATAAGACTTCACTACGGTTAGCTATACTTGTAAGGCTGAATGAAACTATGCAGAAGTATCTTGGCCTCTGAAAAACTGTAAAAGCTGTTTCACTGCCCTCCTTGGTAGTCCTCTGCTCTTATATTAGCAGAGCTGGGAGAAGTACTCAGATCTTGAACTTGCGTAAAAGTAAAAGTATCAGAGGAGCCTATATGGCCAAAATCCTCACCTAACAGTACTTTCCTATACCTCAAGTCAATAACCATAGAACATGTGAAGGGGGGCTTTTGAAAGTCTGGCCTCCCTCTGAGTTTGGGAACCACCTCCCTGTCCTGCACCTCCACCCTCCCCTCATCTCTCCCCTCCTCTCCTCCCTCCTCCTCTCTCCCCCCTCTCCGTGATATCCCGCCGCTGCACCGGTGTGTTCAAAAGCCGGAGCGCAGGCGGAGAGGAGCAGATGGTCCAAAACTGAAAGAGAAACACCAGAGGAAACATCTCTGTGCAGGAACATGTGGACGCAGTAAATGCACATTGGTAGTGCAGCCGCATCGGTGTCCGATCCGCGGTCAAAGTAGAGGAGAGCAGCGGAAGAAACACGGAGCGCTTGTTCGCCCCCCCGGGTCAGCACCGCAGGGAGGAGACAAGCAGGGGAGGAAAGATTCCCCTAAACACAGTGAGAGCGTCGGATGAGGAGAAGAGGAGAGCGGAGGGCATCGGATAGGCAACAAGGAGTGAGTCGAAATAAGTTATTCTCAAACTTCAATTTACTCTAACTTCAAACAAGTGTTACAACATCTCTGCTCAATACAATTGTAGTTGTTGTTATGGTTAGTTTGATTTAATCTAAAATGTCAAATGCTTATTTTTTTATTGTTACTACCCTGGTGTGAGCTTACCTTTCCTCTTCTATCCTGTGTTTCACCCTTCTTCTGTGGCTGGATTTCCCTAATAAAGGTTTATCTCATCTTACAATTCAAACTGGCTGCATTGTTAAAACAACAATTTCAAGCTAGTTTTGCAGTGGTACACCATTTTCAAAAGTAATGTAGCTCAGGCAAGATGTTAGGTTGTTAAATTGTTCTCCCTATCTTATTCCTGCATAGTCTGAGTGTGTGTGTGCGTGCGTGTGCGTGCGTGCGTGTGTGTGTGTGTGTGTGTGTGTGTGTGTGTGTGTGTGTGTGTGTGTGAGTTTTTCAGATGGTCGGTTTTCCTTAACACAGAGAGGTTGACTATTTCAACTTGTCAGACATTCAGTTAACATGGTTCTTACATAAACACCGGGAGTTTAAGATATTTTAATAAATGATCATATTATTCTGACACTGTTAAATAATATAGAAATAATGATGTGGTGGAAGGTAAACAACCAGATTTTTTGTATTGAACAATTTTCAATCTCATTCAAATTGAATACAATGTTTTGATATGATTGCTGAATTTTAAAGAAACGGGCTCACATTAAATCAATGCTTGTTGTAGGCTACTTTATCGTAGTGTCACCTGTGACTTAATTGAACAGCAACAGGAATACAAACGTTCAGTTCGGTTCAGTTTGTTTTATACAAGGAAAAAACAGTTATAAGATTTCATGCCTTGATGTTTTGGGTCCAAATGTATAATTACTTTTCATAAAACATGTTTTATCAAAATGTCTCGCCTCTTCTGTCTGAAGGAACAGAGTCCTTATCCTGCTGACCCTCCCTTAACCTCTCCTCCTCTCTGCTGCACTGCTTCTTCATTCACTCCCCTCAGACATCACACACACTCACACACACGTTCGTACTCTCTGGGATGCACTATAGGCAGGGCGGGTCCAACAGCGTGTCACTTACTTCCCGAACCTGTTAAGCTGCCCCTAAGAAAATCAAATGTAATGCCTTCAAAATCTCCTCACGCCTTCATTATAACAACAGCCTGTACTCCCGTCTCAATTCGTACAACAATGCCAGGCTTTCAACCAGAACCAAAAGTCTCATCACACCTGTTTCACACTGTTCTAGGAATGATTTTAAGATATTATATATTGCCTTTAAGGAACTTCTTGCCCTGGTTTTCAGACTGTATTTTAAACTCTGTAATCCTGTTAAACCTAATTGTAAATCCTCAGGCATGGAAAAAAAGCCAAATAACCACAAAAGGTGCAAAACTATCATAAAAATACACAAAATGACAAAAAAGTGACAGAAGAGAACCACACAGATAAACAAAACACCTCCATTTGAAACATTTCAAAAGACATCAATATTTGATTGGAGGGGGGAAAAGATGTTTGAGGACACAAATCTCAATGTCTTTTTATCTAATTTCCCCTGACAGTGGCAGCTCCAGACTTATTGGACCCTAAATCCGCCACTCACAACACCAAGCCCCGCCTCTCCTTCTCCACAAAGCCAATCACACTGACTCCCCGGGAGGAGAGTGAGGTGAGAGAAAAAACAGAGGAGTCCAGATTTTTAAAAGTAATTTCTTTATCTCTTGATTCACACGGTGCTCATGTAACAGTGGGGAAAAACACATATTTTAAAAGTTTATAAAGTATTTATGTGAGTTGATTGATCAGTTGAAGTGTTGTAGATGGTTGCCACAGTGATGAAATGGAAGACGGTGACGGCCATCTTTCTTTTGGTGGTCCTGTACCTGGTGATGGGAGCAGCAGTCTTCAGATCCCTGGAGCAGCCTCACGAGAGGTAGGCGGGAGAAATACATTTACAGCTGTCTGTCTGCGGCGCTACGAGAACAAACATCCATCTATCCCTCAATCTCAAACCTGTCGCTCCCCTGTGCACATTTGGTATTTTATGATGTCTTTAGATTTCATTCATGATTTAGAGATACTAATGTCTGCAGGAAAAACAGGCTGAGCCACCAAAGAGAGTCACAGAGGTTGAGAGGTCACAGAGGTGTGTCCTACTAAGACAGGGGTGTCAAACTCAAGGCCTGGGGGCCAAATCCGGCATGTGACTTCATTTTATGTGGGTTAACCCTAACCCTAACCTAACCCCACCGCTTGCAAAGAATATAATACGTTTATTATACGGCTACATGCCGATTTACAGAAGCACGTCGCCCCTAAACTACATGTCCCACAATGCATCTCGTTTTGTGACGTGCGCACTGAAGAGACTTGCTGTTATTTCCCCTGGACTTCTGCTTTCAGACGTAGTTAATTATGAAGTTATTACCCTATCCGATAATAATCCAATTCAGAGGCAATAATGTAATATAATACATTATTTTATATATACGATATATTTATACATGTATATTTATATAGTCTTAAAAGTTACAACCGGCCCTTTGAGTGCAACCATAATGCTAATGTGGCCCGTGATGAAATTGAGTTTGACACCCCTGTACTAAGAAGACCACTATTTTGACGACAAACAACCATGTATATCTAAATTACTTTGTATACAGACTTGTGTATACATTATTCAGTAAGTGTGTTATTAGGATTTTTAGTTATACATTTCCAAATCTAATTTTAACAACCACAAAGCACACAAAGCCTTGACCCTAGGGTGGGAATCACTGCTGTAGACTTAGTGCCTTAGTGGGTGATTACAGCAAGAAAACATCTCTATGTTATCTTTTTCATTGTAGTGCTTCGAGCTTAAATATGATCTTTCACAAGTCAAGTCATTTTCACACAAAAAAAGATAAACACATTTCATTTTAAGAAAATGAGCCGTAAAGTCATCGTTCAGAGTTATTACTGTATTGTTTTTCGAACAAGGGTTTTGAGAAAGGTGGACTCTTATTGTGAAATATGAACTAATGATCAGAAACATTTCTCCCATACTTTCTCTTTAGTGCCCAGCGTTTGGCCATTCTCACCCAGAAGCTGGAGTTCCTGTCCACACACTCCTGTGTCAACCAGAGCCAGCTGGAGGAGCTGGTTAAGGTTAGACCTGCCTCACATTAAAAACTACATACGTTTGATTGAAATACTGTTCTGTATTTGAACAGTTATAATGCAGCACAGTGCAGTGGATTCAGCACCATGGACAGCTCCTACAGCTTCTTAGGAGGAGAAGGAGGACATGTGTAGCCACAGATATTGTGTTTCTGTTTTGATACTCTCATCCAGTTACATTTCTGAATGATTAAACCCTTCACAGGGACTCACACTTTAGTGCATTCTAGGAGACAGCTTGCCCCGCCCAGTTTGCCAAGTTGTATTTTCCGTCTTCTATTGGATCCTTCCTGCAGCACTACAAGAAAGACAAAGCTCAAAAGCACCAGCTAAAATGTTTCGTGATAATATTTACTGCACAACATAATATTTGGTTTCTAACCAGGATTTGATAGTTTCCAATGGTAAATCAATACTAATTGTTGATCTGAAAAACACATTTAAACATCTCTCTTCCTCTCTCTTTCTCCTCTTCAGCAAGTAGTGTCTGCCATCCGCTCAGGAGTGAACCCTGCAGGGAGGCTGACCAATCACAGCAGCCTGTGGGACCTAAGCTCCGCCTTCTTCTTTGCTGGGACTGTCATCACAACCATCGGTAGGACACACAGTGTTGATCCCTCTCAAATTCCTCCTATCAGACAGACCTTCAATTACTTTAAAATGACTCACACTTACTCACAGGAGCACTGCCATGTTGCTCCAGAAGTTCAGAGGGTTCACTCTAAAAGAATAAAATAGAGATTAAGAATAATAAATTGTTTAAAAATTCCCAACACATGTAGAGTATATAACAAGATAACCACATACCCCTACTTGCATGTTTATGTGTTATTTCAATGTGCTTGTTTCAACTGCTGTGGGAAGTATGAAATGGTGATTGATATCCTCTTTTGGTGTCTCTGTTCTCTGCAGGTTTCGGGAACACCTCTCCCCACACAGACGGAGGAAGGATCTTCTGCATCATCTACGCCTTGTTGGGGATTCCTCTGTTCGGCTTCCTCCTGGCCGGCGTAGGAGATCAGCTCGGCACCATCTTCGGCAAGGGCATCGCCCGAGTGGAGAAAATGTTTGTGGTGAGTCCGGGGTAAAGTTCAATCACGTACGCTGGGCAGACATACAGATATTGTTTTACATATTTGAATTCTTTAGGCTTCCCTGAATAATGAACATCAAGAGATAAATGTGAAACATATTGAGGTGATAGTTATAGGGTCAACCTATGGAATATAAACAAGAATACATTAAAAGAACGTAGTGATACGTGTGCATTTTAACAAACGTACAAAAACATTATCTTTGAAAGCTGCACTAACCAACACTGAAATGACATAAATGTTTTCTCTGATTTATGAAGTTTTTACTTGGTTATATTTGAGTTTCGTCCTCATAGTTTGTTATGATTTACAGTAATGAGGGGTTTTGTTTTTGTGCTTACTAAGTTTTTGATGAGGAATTAGGCAGAATAAGGGTTTACATGCAAACCCTTTTAGAATTAGAGATTAGTTTGTTTGTTTTGTGTCGTTTTTTAGATTCACCTGTAGTGTCTCTCTGTAAAAACAGTATTTCTAAGAGGAGATGGTTGAGTCTTTAAAGGAATGCCTCAGCATTGTTGTTTTAGGTCAAGTCTTCAGCTCCCAATAAGAGAAACAAAGCTCACAAAATGTGTGTTTTTAAAGTTGAATTTGCTGCTGTTTGAAATATGCGTTCGAGCCTTGAATGAAAGGAGCTGAAGTGTGCAATGTAGAACGATTTGCTCCTTCTGCTGCTCTTAGGGCACCCGAGGGATGGAGTAATGAATATTATGATTAAGGCTGAGGACAGAGGACAAAAGTTCATTGTGTAAGTCTGTGTCTGTGTGGGTGTTGTCAAAGCCGTTTTGCTCTGTGCCCAGAGTGTGTGAGACTGCAGCATTATCCTCAGTGAACACTGTGAATGTCTTTTCTTTCTACTGCACCCAGGGGACCAATTTATGGAATAAGGCTATTATTACTTACAGCGTCTATCTGTTTTACCAAATCACCTCGAAAGCTGTTGTCTCTCTGGTCCATACTGATATATCTCAATAACTGTTGAATGGCTGGCTAAGAAATGTTGTAAAAACATTTATGCATCCCAGAAGATGAATCGTATCACTTTGTCAATCCTTTGACTTTTAATCTTTGTGACTTTTGGTTTTAAATTAAATGTCCAAAGAAATATTGAATGCATGGTTGCTCACTAATTGCTAACAATTGAATGTAAATGGTAAACGCACTGAGTTACAACGCTATCAATGAGTCAAAAAAACATATATACAGTGATAGAGCTATACTATGTTCACCCTCCAAGTTTACATTTGATGAAGCTGTAAATTATCATTGGATTACCAGTTTTTGGTCATAAACCAAAGTATTATATAATAAAGAAATTGTGAGCTGATGATGATGAAGCTGATAACGCTTTATTAAATGACAAAAATGGCGCCAAATTGATTACAATTCAATTCGATTTAGTCTTTATAAATTCAAAGTCCTCCTCATGCGCCCTGCTCAGATACATTTGGTTTGAACAACAAGTGCTTCTCACGGATGGACAAGTTAAATGTACATATTTTAGCATCAACATATCTACATTGGATCCATTTCAAGATTCTACTTGTTGCCACTCAAATTGATTTAAACACACAATGACCACAAAAGCTTCATGTGTATTTACAGTGATCACAAACAGCCCATCTGTAGAGTTTGTAAAGGTACCTGACGTGTCCTGTCTCCTCTGCCCCTCTCTCTCAGCACTGGGACATCAGTCAGACAAAGATCCGGGTCATCTCCACGCTGCTGTTCGTGCTGTTCGGCTGCCTGCTGTTTGTGGCGCTGCCAGCGGCCATCTTTAAACACATCGAGGGCTGGTCTGTGCTGGAGTCCCTTTACTTTGTGGTCATCACGCTGACCACCATAGGATTTGGAGACTTTGTGGCAGGTACAAACACAAAGCCAATGACTGAAGAGCAAAATCAGACAGCTAATTTAAACCTGTCTGTCTCTCTGCCTGTATCACCTGGTGAACTCTTCTTGATGTGTCACACTCATTGACTCTGTCTCCATGTCTAGGTGGTTCAGAAATAGAGTACTTAGATTACTATAAACCAGTTGTTTGGTTCTGGATTCTGGTGGGACTCGCCTACTTTGCTGCCATCCTCAGCATGATAGGAGACTGGCTCCGAGTCATCTCCAAGAAGACCAAAGAAGAGGTATGAGAGCACTGGTTTGATGTTCAGTGATTTCTCCAATTTTTCCCTTTTTTTGGTTTTGTTATTTAAAAAAAAAACTGCATTGTGTGATGATGACAAAAATAATAATAATAATAATAATTTTAAAATGCAGGGGGAATTATAAAATGTTGCGCCCAGGCTGTTAAATAGAAAAGGCATTGATATTAAATAAAGTGAACATTTATCAAAACATTTTTATTATGTAATGCAGTGTTATTAGAAATCTGTTTATCTTTCGATGTATTTGTGTCTTTCAGTAAAGTGACTCAGGTTCTTCATGCTACTGTTACAGCGCCTCAACTTTTGCCCTCTGCTTAACGACATTTCAATGATTAGACTGTTTCCTAATCCAATCCACCGTCTGCCATCTAAACACATAAACGCAGTCGTATGCCATTACCGTGAGAATCTCCAGAGAAGAAAGGGGTCATTCAGACAACATGTGATGACGTCTTCATCAGATTGAAAAAAATCTTATAGCACTACTCTTTCAACAAGAACATGCTGACATGACATGGTGTAGCCCTCAGCTAAACATAATTAGTTGTATTATTCAGGTCTGAAACTGTTAATTGGTGATGTGTGTGTGTTCTTATTAGTGGGGTATAGTCTGAAGTACAGGCTTTGAAATGTGTTAACAGAACGGCTCTAGTCCTCTTTTAATGAGTTCTAAGGACAAAACTGAAGCCTACTCATCAGCATAAATATCCTGGTTCAACACATTGAACACGTTTTTTTTCTCAACCTACCCTAATTTGGATTTCGGGGGAAGGAGCGCAATTACAGAACGTCATTTATTTTCTAACTAAAGGACAATAGCATGCACTTATATGTTACAGCTATTGAGTTTATATAAAACATCTTATTCAGACGGGAAAACATTTACAAAAAAACAAAACATTCAAACATGGAAAAGACATAATGTGATTTGGTCATCGACTGACAGGTCATGGATAACTGATTGTCCATGGATATAGTAATTTCATTGTATTATCAAATGGTGATAATAATATATGGTAACTCTATCAAAAAGAAACAGGTCACTGTGGTGAGACATTTAGACAAAACACTTTTTAAAGGTTATGTCTTTTTTTAAATTATTTTACATTTTGCCACTGTCATCAAAGAAGGAATCGTTTTTCCAGGAGTTCCTTAAAGGTGACCTATCATGCAAAAGGCACTTTTGTACGTCTTTTATACATGAATATGTGTCCCCGGTGTTCCAGGGAACTCACCAAGTGTCAGAAAACACAACCCTCTCTCTTTTCCTCCATACCCAAACCTCTTAAAAAGGGGCTGCAACGGATCTGATACAGACTGATCCAGATTTGAACACTTCTATGACGTCACAGAAGTGGCGCTACGGCTATTGGGCCAACTCCACCAATCAGGAGGAGACAGCCACGGACATTGCCGTTCCAAAGCGCTGGAGACGCTGTAGTACATATGCCAGGCCTGTAGATGGTGCTGTTCTCACAGAATCAGCCCATGCAAAGACAGTGTTAAATTGACCGAAATGAGGAATGGCTAAAATGCATGATCTGTTTGGTATTTTGAAAAATAAAAAGTATAAATATGCCTTATATAGGTATGGTCCTACACTATATTATTCAAATATAGCATGATAGGTCCACTTTAACTTAAAAAATGTACAACAACAACAACTCATTGCATGAATGTTAGATTCAACACAGACTCATTGAAAGCAGAAGCTCATATTTCCAGAATAGATATATGTTTTTGTAAACAAACACCTTGCATGGATGAGGGTCCACTCCATACGTCTCCAGGTTCTGAGCCTTCTGGAGGAAGTTGAGCTCTGATATTTCAGGGATCTGACCTCTGGAGACAAGAACAATAAGCCAGTTAACTCGCATTCACAACCAACGTCAAACTATTACTGTGTTGTTCAATTTCATCATCATTTGATTTGAACTGCGTACTGTTTTTGATAAATGTGCTGAAGTCTCTTCTCCTTAGCGTATTGACATCTTTTAAATTGTTGATTTTATTGCATTTAAATTGTCTATTGTTTTTTTACTTGTACTTGTGTTATGGCGTGTGAGCTGTACTGTGTGATTCTTTGTATGTTGTGTTTATTTGACTGTACAGCACTTTGGTCTGGAGGTTTTAAAGTGCTTTATAAATAAAGCTGTATTGTGAGTCAAAACATTTACTCTCTGTCAAACAAGCACATGGTTTCCTATTCTACCCTAGTTTATCATTCTGCCAGCAGTGTGATGAATTTTCAATGTTCAGGTGTAGTTTTTTACTTCGCTGACAGTAAACTATTGGGAGATGCATATCTGATTGTTCCAGACAACATGGAGGCAATGACCTATAGAGGGCAGTGCAGGACCAGGCGGTGCCTTTGCCCACCTGGGTTTACCCTATCCCATCACCCGTGAAGGCATCATCTGGAGGAGTCTGACAGCCTCACTGTGTGTACCTGCTGGGACAGGAGGCTCTGACCTTGGCATGCTCTGTCTGGCTGTCTCCCACTTTAAGGGCAAGGAAGCAAAGCAATGTTAACTCAACCTGACCGCCACTATAAATTCACATCAGTCCCTTAGCATAAAACAAACACTGCACTATCTATGAGAGAATGACATAACTACCATTCTGAAAATCCAGAAAGGTAGTCATCCCTTGCTAACCATTTTAAAGATAATGACTGGGGACCGCATCCATCACCCTGGTCATCGCCTGCTGTATACTTTATAAGATTCAAGGCTTTTATTGTCATTGGTGCATAGCTACAGTGTAGTTATGACAATGAAAATGCATAAATAGTGCAGAATAGTCTATATACAAGTAATTGGAATATTGATATAAGTTGCAAACAGATGAATGTTATGGATGTTCTTTCAAAAAAAGTGCAAAACCTGACCTTTTACTGTTAAAGGAGGGGACATGGCAGCAGCCTAACATCTACCAAAGTGTTTTACGAGAGCAACAACTTGGGAAAGGAATCAAGAAACTTCTCTGATAAATTATAAAACCATAGACTTGATAACACTGCCTTTTATTTTCACTACTTCTGACATCCGACCCTTGGAGATTAAATCGTGGCAAAATGTTCCTAGACTCTTTGAACTATAGCCACCACCAATAAGGGAACGCATCCTTATTCACCCAGCCGGCCAAACGCTGCAGTCTGAAGGATGTTTTTGTCTGCTTCTGTCAATAGCCAGGCATGTGAAGCATCAGGGACTGAACTGAACATGTGCATGAACATTTCAGTGACTTGTTTTGCAGAAGTGGGAAGGAAGGTCTACAGAGAGAGTGAACAATGTCTGCTCAACAACACAGTACCAAAAAGATGCTCAAATGCACAGAATGTAATACTACTTAAGTATCCTGGAAATGTTTGTGAAATGTGGTATTTTGGTTAGAGGAAATCAAAACACAACATTAAATATCAATAATGTCTACTGTATCTTAAAGCATGGTTATCATGTATACCAGGGTATATGCAGGAATCCTGAAGTCAAATGTAATACCTTTTAAGACCCTTTCCATACATTTTAAGACCTCATCGCCACTTCGAATTCCAACCGGTTACATTGGCGACACACTTTACCTCACATTGACTATATACAGTATTGATTGTAAGATAGCACAACTAAACAGCTTGTGATAACTCCTTATCATAATTCAGATAGAACAAAGCACAAGAGAATTAACTGTGTGACCAACCCAATGCAAGGTTTATGAGAAAAAGAAACCATTAGAAAGTAGTATTTGATTTAGGCATTGTTCCCAAGAGATGCAGACTTGCATTTCCCCATAACGATGTTGTTTAACAACCGGCGTAAACGGACCTTCGCGCGCTATCAAGCAGTGAGCGTGCGATGTCCTGTTCAGATGACGTCAAATCCAACGGGATGCCATAAATAAACTACAGAATCACACTACACACCTACGCAATGATTACATTCAGGCAGACTGTGGAATACAACCTCTTTGGACCATTCATATACTTATTGAAAACAAGATACAAAATGTAATACCTTGGAAAATGTTTAATACTTTTTAAAAGCCTTAATTTTCGCTAAATTGATTTATCAACTTTTAATACTTTTTAAGACCCCGCGGACACCCTGGAAAGTACTCAATGCAGACAAATGTGTGCTACAAGTTTATATACATCTAATGATAACATGTATAAAGTATATCGTTATATATTATACTTATCAATATTGAATCAGGAGCTAACTAGCTGAGGTCCTTTTCATTCAAGATGATTCTCCGTTTATGTCATATTTTTAACACATGAGT